TTTTTTTTTTTTTTTTTTTTGAAAGAGCGAATTTGTAGATTTTGATAGTATATCATATACCATTTGGTTGAAAAGCATGACTATAGCTCGATAACTTGAAAAAAAACTGGTATGCATCCGCGAAAAGCGCCGGAGGGGAAGGTACCCTATCTTCGCGGCCCAACTTCCCCGCCTAGAGAACCGCCTCCGCTGCTTCATCCCGGGCGGTCGGGGTAAGACAGCCTGACCAACTGACTCGAACCGTAGGGTGTTGAAGGCTCGTATCTTCATTAATCTTGCAAAGTGGAACGGCTTTGGGGGCGAGACAAGTGCCGTGTCGTAAGAAATGACCTTCCCTTCTCGCGTGCAATTGCTGCAATTGTTTGGAATTTTTCTCGCTCGGAAGGGAGTCTGTTTGTGCTTGGGTGTAGATATCGGATTTGTTGCAGCATTTTAGTCTTCACATTTCTGTTGATAAGGCTTCGACTTCAACATCCACGTATATATCAGGGTGATCTTTGAGAGGACAGGTGCCAGGTGAGGTAGTGTATAGAGTGATACAATACTTTCGGCAAATGAAAATCGGTCGCTGTCTCGAGCATAACGTAAGAATAAAGTTTCAAGATCGAATCAGCTATCGTTGCAGGCGTTACGAGTTCAACTGAGCTTCCCTTCGAGAGGACTGGGGGGATGGACTCGACAGGCCTGCTCATGTAAGCGGCGCCATTCGTTTTTTTTCTAAGTTGTCGAGCTATAAACTAACAGTATGAAAATCCTGATCAAGAGCTTCAATTGTTCAAATCTATTTTAATGTGCAATTGTATAAGAGTTTCTTTAGATTCTTTCGTGTATTTTCCTCAATTTTTATATTTTAGTAAAGTAGAGCCCCGGTAATCCGAACGAATTGGGGGTATGGCGACTTTGGTTTCGGAAATGTTCGGATTATCCGAAAAAATGTATCGTATATATCAAATACATCTATAGGATTACTAGACAGTGCAACGTAGCGTGCGATGTGAGAAAATGGCAACGTAGCATAGCGACCGCATCATATCACATCGCATTGTAAAGCAGATGTTACTTAGGGCAAAAGATTACAGATTTTGCAAGTTGCTCTAAGTGAAAATGACTGCAACACAAACGTGTGATATATACCATAGTTGCTAGTGCGATAAACTTTTCATTCTTTTTTTCAAGTATTAGTTCAATTCCGTAGTAATTATAAAGTCCTTTTCTTTACACTACAAATAAACATTTTATTTATTTTGTTTTTCCCCCCATCCCGAGTTTTGTTCGGATTATCCGAAAATTTGGATTTGTGGTATTCGGTTTCTTCGGTTGAGGTTCTACCGTATTTTATAATTTTTGATCAATTACTTACTTTAATGCACATGGAACTTTCAAAGTTTGGGAATGACATACATATTATGATATTCAGAGATAATGTCTTAGAAGGAATTCCTTTTTTGTAAATTGGTCCAGTAAAATTAAATATTTAACAACATATTTAGTGAGTGTGTTGTTTACCGATTTAAACTTCGTGCGCATTAAAGTTCGATCAGCTGGGATTAACCAATCAGGAGCTTGTTTCAAAAATTAAATCGTAACGAAAAGAGTAACGTATATTTAAGTCTTAATTAAACAAATCATAGTTGCATTCGTTCATACTTCCTAGAATCTAAAAAGGTGAAGCTTAACTGTAAAGGAAACGAGTGATGTTTATATTATTCTATTATAATGAGTAACTTCAGTGATTACATAGTTAACGCAAAACACTAAAACGAAATTCTTGACTTGCTACTTACAGGTCTAAGTATGTTTTATTGTACAAAAAACGTATAAACATGGGCTGCTACGTTACACTCGCATTGCTTTGTGTTAGCGCGTACATTCGAAGTTTAATTATTTTCAATGTAGATTCTTTGCTACCACTAATCAAAATGTTTATTACAGAAATGCCGCTGAATCAGAATTAATGATGGAGTTAGATTTTCCCACCGACGCAGCATTACAAGAATATATAGAATTATAAAAGGTGTGTACAACACTGGAATACGAAGAATCGAATATTCAGTGAGAAGTGGCGTAAGAGCAATGAATACGCTGCAGCTCCATTGGTTTGCCATCGCCGACAGATTTCACTAACTATATGGAATGGGAGACACTTTGTTGGTTAGGCCTGGTTAAGATTGTAACCGATACAAAATAGACTAGTACGATTTCAATTTCAATTTATTACTTTATTATACCAAGGTACTACATCTACCCCTACGTTTAACAAATGAGACATATTATTACAGTTTTGTAGTTTCCATACCTTCTTCCTGTTGTGGCCTGCAAATTGACAATGCCCGACATTGTTCCCCCTTCTCTCTAGGTCCCGGGAATCATTTGGCGTGTGGTTACATCTTCCTTTTCGGGGACGTATTTGCTTTTATACGCTTGTTTATGAAAATTGCAACACCAAGGAGGAAACATACTATTACAACGAAAATTATTCCACAGATTAAGAATATCACAATGTACAAATGATTAGAATTTGCAGGACTGAACATGCATGACTTTGACCTTGGGTACGGTGTGAAGTTCCCACGCGCTATTATCTGAACTTCTAGACGTGGCATAAATTCAAAGAGAGCCTGGATATGCTTCTGGGGAACACACAGCCACGCGGTTTTTATGCGTGACCACAAATCATTGACAGTGGCTGCATGAGAACCAGAACGAATAAGTTGTCGACCAATGATATTCCAATAATGTTCGAAGACAATATGTCAGGTGAACGTGCAGCCCTGCGAAGCAGTGGTACCCGCCGTTCTTCGCAGAAAGCTTGCACATTTCTCGCCCCATGCAGTTGGGCATTGTCCAGTTGAAATGTCAGGTGGAGCTTCTTGCAGGGGTGGGAGTGCAGTACCTCGGTTCCCTCATGTTGCGGTTGTTGTTCAGATTGCCCTCAACACGTATGAGGCGTGATTGAACATTGTAGCCAATGGGGCCCCAACCTATCTCGCTTGGTGATAGACCGCTATGGCACGGTAGCGCTAAACACGTACGAGGGCATCACTGAAGCCCAAACTGAAGCCCAAATTGAAGCCGGACTCGTCTGAATACTACATTTCAGCATATACGTGAACACGTTCGCGTGCCCATTGCTGTCTGAGGCGTTGGTGGTTTCTGGTCAACGTAATCCAACGCAGTGGTATGCGTGCCGCCAGTCCAGCTGTCAGCAGACGGTGTCGAATCGTCGATGCAGATACGACCACACCCGTGCGCCAAAGTCGAGTCAACACTGGTATCTACCTCTAGGCGCTCTTATGTCGGTTACGGCCATGCGGACAAAATTCGGTCATCTTGCGCTGTGGTCACATTGTGACCCAGCACCCTCTCGCCAGTGTACGACCCCCCCCCCTCTATCCACTTGTTCCACACATGCATCACTGTCGTAGCAGCGCGCCCCGTTCGAGCCGCAATATCACGGTACGGTAAACCCGCTTCTCAGAGACCGATCATTCTGCCCCATTCGAACTCGCTCAGATGCTGACGTTGCAGTCTTTGGCGTCGACGAGACATGCCGGTACTTGCTTGCACGTTCCCACGTCGTTGCGGTTGTACACCGACTGAGTGTGGTGTATCACTGATCTGACCTGTCACGGAGGCTAGGCCAACGTGCACGCCATCTCTATGTAAATGTAATCACTTAAATGTAATCACTGTTCTACACATCCACCGATTTTTAACAGATTCCGACCATTCCTTCTGGGTGTCGCAATTTTCACGAACACCAGTGTACATACACCCGGCATGTTTTTCAGGTCCAATTGTCCAAGGTACAAGCAGCATTTATTGCGAAGATTGCTATGCAGTCTTTGAGGCATATTAACCTTGTAAATATTCTAAGTCTGCTTGCGAGAATCTAGATGCACATCTAACTATGCGTCTGGCACGTACTAAGACTCTAATTGTATTTTCTGTTTATATTAAAGTGCTCACCTCTTAGAGTAAGGCGTCATTAAATATGTTTCGAATAGAAATTCATCGTTCTCAACAATGACGCAGCCCTAAAGTATATTTAGTGTCTTCCTCGATTTCAGAGTTCAATTCACAATTGCTCAAAATACCACTATCACATTGGCCACCGTATGCTTCCGCATTATAACTGTAAAACAGCATTGCGGTCAACCAGTGCTAACAAAACTACACTAAAAGTTCTTTTGTAACAGTGTGAATGTGTGGACACCATTGCATTACTACATGCTTCCTGTCAATCACATTCGGGACATTCCAGTGGTTTCTGAAGGCTTCCTCCATTAGTGTTCATTCTTTGAGTTCTTAGTACCTGAAATACAATAGTTTGATTAAAATTTTAATATTTCATGTACACTTGTGTTTGCAACAGGAACATAACTCCAGCGCAGTAGTTGGAGGGAAGCGACAGCTGCTGCAGCAGGGCGGCCAGCAGCGGTCAAAGGTAAACGCTAGTCCAGAAGGGACCGACACGCAGGAAGAACAACATGCAGAAGCAAACTGGTCGATTACGAACAATGCATCTCAAATTAACAATGAACTCAGTGTTCGGCCAGATTGTGAACCTCGAACTGCAGGACGTGACGAAGAGGGAGGCTTTGCAGTTGCAGATGGAAATATCCAATTTACGTTCGAAAAAAATTAAATTAAAATAAAATGACCAGAAATACGAGAGAGAGAAGTGAAATACTCAAATCCACAATGAACAATATTATAAATTGTGATAGTTATGAACTGCATCTCAGGATAACTCAAGGCAAACAATCCAACAATTTTGTGACAAATTTTAGGCGTAGGTTTATTTCAATTACATCATAATTGAACAGCACACCAGGAAAGTGTGTCTGCACCGAACAGAGTCCAGGGCTGACACCGTCGCCGTGCCCGGCCTTAACATCACCACCGTACGCGACACAATACTAAAATTTTTTAACGTGGCCTCTGCCACGCATCTCCCTATTGGAGTCTGCCATCCCTCTTCCTTTTCGTGCGCGACATTGAGACCCCACGTTAAAAATTGAAGTTATAGTTGTCGCATGTGTACCATGACCCCCCCCCCTCCCCGGATGGTCTATTCGTTGCCCAGTGATCTCTCAACGTGAACAATTCATCATGCAACAATACATTAACTTTCTACTCTAGAGCTCACTGTCTGCCTGGTGCTTGCTATACCAACATTATTTTTGTTGATATCACTCTCATCAGCATGGTCACTGCGGAGAAATTTTCGGCACACTGTATTTTAAAATGTGAATTAATGTGTGGTATGCAATTAAAAATATTTTTAATTAAACTGTATTCATTCACGTGAATTATTTCCTGTTTTTGTAAAAGACATTTGAGTATACTTTGTGAAAGGGGGAAGGGCTATTTAAAATTTATTCAGACCTATAAATTCAAAATGAAATTAAAATTTTAAAGTTCTTAAATCATCATCATCATCATGTAGTAATTGAAAATGTATTGCATTAAATAATGTTCTCAATATTGCACTATGAGAAAGATTGAAATGGTTTGATTGCATTACAATGCCTTGGTCGTTTTTTGTCACCATTCATAATTTCTAATTTATTATCTAAGTTTTCATAAATAATATTTATCATGTAAGACTACGATGCATTTTTGTACTTCCGTCTTGAATGTAGTGACATAGTACTTTATTTTTTTATGAATGTACATTTGATATGTTATCTTTCAAACCATAAATTTATTTTTCTTGGGTACTTACATTTATTACATTTACTATTTGAGTTGTAATAAGAGTTATGTAAATACTATAATTTATTATTTTAGGTATACAATTTTTTTTAATTTAATATAAGTTCAATATTTAAATTATTATTAATTTGTATGTAAAAAGGAATTTCACACCGTTGCTGTGGCAGTGGCGTGTTGTGATCTGTTAAGAAAGTCTGTAAGAATGAAAGTACATGTATTTTTTCCTATAATCATTCCTTAAGATTTTAATATTTGAACATTATTTTGGTTCTGAATATGTAATGTTTGTCATATTTTTAAAATTATAGTGTATCCTTTTTGCTTTTTATTCAATTAAAAATATAAAACAATACAATTATTATGTCTTTGTAGAAGTTCCATAGTTTATATTTTGATATGCACCAGAACATTGAAATGAAAATTCCAAGTTGTATAAAATTAAGAACTATGAATTGTTTTATAAAAATCCCAATAGCTTCAATAAAACTGTATAATATAACTTTTGGTAATTAAAATGATAATGCTTGTAAATGGTTTTTAAGACTACATACAAAAACTGACTGTTTGAGCTTTAAATGTAATTGAGTAATAGAGAGAAAGTTGTTAAATATTTGGGAGTGTATTTTATATAGACCAAAAATGGTAGACGTGTTCTGAAATTCACCACTAAAATGAAACACTTTATATTTATATTTTATAAAATGAGAATAACAGTGGGGAAACAATTATTAATGCTTTATTATGGGTTCTCTAGTAGTCCTTACTTGGGGAGGAATGTATAACGGAACTGAAATCACTACTAAGCATACAAAATAAAATTAATAAGATGTAATATATCAGTCTCAAATTATATACAAGGAAAAAGAAATGATTAAAGTAAGATTATATTTGCAAAAAAACTGTTGATAAAAATGACAAAGTATCAAGTACTGCAAGAAACCAGTACTGTTATACTGTAATTGTATATCCAGAGTTCAATAAAGAAATGGGTAACAGAAGGCACAAAGTAGTGCATGTAAGATTATTGACTAACATACACACAACAGCAATTTAAAAAGTAAATATTTAGATCCCAGGAAACAACAAATTATTAAGAAAATGGTTAAGAAGTTGAAACAATAAACAATGCACTCGTAAGGTATTCAATCCCTTGAAATTATTTTCCTAAATTCACAGTATTTGATCTCTCTTCAAAAACAAATACATTAACATATTTTATTTTGTTTCTATTTTTTTAAAAATTAATATGGAATTTGAGGTATTTAGAAATTAGTGTGATGTAGAGCTATTTGCACTCTGACAATAAGCGTCCGCAATGCCATTATCATTGTATATTATGTAACATTAGTATTTACACATACAGCCTATTCAATAAATTACTTACAGTATATAATAGAAGGCCGATCCGGTGGTCGAGATCGCTAAGGCAGTAGTGCCGTAGCGATCTCGTACCGAAAGATCGCTTGGTGGGGAGTCGAACGTCCGCCTTGCGGCGAGATGGTTTATTGTGTTCGTCCTTTACACCTTTCCGCCCCGCCCCCCCCATCATCATCATCATCGATCATCATCATATCAGGGAAGGAGAACGAGGAAAACCAACCTTGGAATAAACAGTACGAGTTCCTCCATCTCATTCCATTATAACCATTAGATAATAACATTCAGATTGTAACTCGAGATTTATCCTCCACCTCAAGGTGATACCTTCAACAGTCGACCATGAACAGTAAAAAGTGAAGTGGAACGACTCAAGTGATCCAATGTGGCCAATCAAGTTAAAATAAATAAATAAATAAAAAAAATAGAAGAGGTGAGGTTACAACAAAAGAATTGACAGTTAATTTGCAAAAAATTGTTTCATATGCCATTACATTTACAAACTAGAAACACAGTAACTAATAACTCGTGCAAAAATGATGTATGTAGATTAATAATTCTTAATTCTGAATTGTATTTGAAAGGTACTAATAGTTAAGGTGAGGAGTTTTGAGAATAGGGATTAATAGTTTCAATTAGCAGGGCCGTTTTTTCAGCATTGAGGGCCCTTGGGCCTAGGTTAATTTGGGGGTCCCCTATTCTTCCTTTCACTGACCTACCCCGTACCCCCCACCAATTTCGATGCTGAACTGAAATATAAAGAAAATCCTATAAGTTCTCATTGTATTTGTTTGTTTTTAATATTATGGGAGCATTTCTTAGTATTTTTGGCATTATTCAAACAAATTTAAACGTGTATTTATAATTACATTGAAAATACATTTTTTATAGAATTATACAATTTAAAATTGAACCTCATCAACCAGCAACGTTCCATATTATAAATATTATCTAATGTGCTACTCATCACTCTTATGCCAATTTTTGTGTATAGTTTAACCATATATCACTTTTAATATGTTTATATTATATTAAAAAAAAAAATTAGTATTAAATTTTTTTCAGAACTTTGAGGCCCTGAGCACAGGCATTTCGGGCCTGTGCATTAACACTGCCCTGTCAATTAGTTACGTAATTCTAAGACTCGGATAAAACATATCACAAGATGTCAGAAATTGGCCAATAATGACATTTTGTTCATGGAGAAAATTATGGCAAATCACATTCTTTCAAAAACCATTGTGCATGCTTTGCCTACCAACTTCAGCAATGCAACACATCACAGACCAGATCTTCTTGGCAACCTTGGTTTCAATTGCAAACAGAAATGTTGCTACTCACCTAACCTATTTCCTTGTTATACAATTTACTCGACGTACCTACTATCGAGTTGTATAAAAATTAACAATTTGCTTTGAAATATATTTTGTATGTCATGAATTACATTGGTACCCTTATGGCAATCCTACTCTCCTATCTCTTGCAGGACTCAACCTATACTTCTCCCTGACTCATGTACAATAGCTTGGTGGTCGCTGTGTGTAACGATCGCTAACCTCTTGTTTGTAATGTGATGTAATCCATGTATCAAGTGTATGTATGTACATGGGTACATGCTTATGTGCACATACACACACTACAGGTGCCTCAATAAATGTTACAGACATCTTGTTTATGTAGAGGAATTTCAAATGATAACTTTTTGCTAATGAAGATATAGTGGGAAATTGAATAGAATGGAGTTATATGCATTTATACATAACGCAATTGGTCCTGATTTTTAGGCAACCCCATAGGTACAGCTGATCAGCAATACAATACATTTCTTTGACTGTGCATATGAAGTGGGCTCAATTTCAAAGGAAAATGTGATATGTGAAACTCCATTATATGGAATTTCCTGCATGATTATGTTTTGAGTCATTCTATATATAGGCCTACCTAAAAGTGTTATAGTCTCCAAATGTTTTCAGTCAACAGAAGACGTTATCAACAGTCAACAGAAGACAAAATCAAACTACAAAAAAATCTGAAAAGTTTGAATTAAAAACAAAAACAAAAAACGATTACGTAACAACATCTATTCTGATTTCTCAAGTAATACATCTTGCTCTAATTCTCTTAGTCATGTTGATAAGATGTCCAAATTATTATAAAGATATTAAAAGAAAGAAAAATAAATCAACGAAGTTTTCTTCAAGTGTGTTATGTTTAGTGATAATTCACATATTTCTTTAACTAGTATACTTGTTCTGTTATGAAACATGCTAAAAATTGGATTGGAACACTTCTTTTAATTTCGGTGTATCTTTGCTACATGTTCTTGGGTGATTTTTTAAAATTATTTTCATATGTTTTTGTTTTGTTTTCTCTTCAGTATGTACCAAATCTTTCTCTCAGGATTCGTGACTGTACCATTCCCGGACCATGAGAGGGAGATCTTTATATCTTGAAGATATTGTGTAATTTCTCTTGTGGCATGGAGAGTGATCATTAGACATCGAATGTTAAGGCATCAGAAACTTACATTGTAGACACCTAGAAAGGCACTAAAATTTTTTAAATAAGCACTGAAAAAGGTGACAAAATCTTAAAATTGAAGGGAAAAAACTAATATATTTCACTCTACTTGCACCTAAAATTACTCAATTAAAAAACAAAACAAAATAATATGAGAGATTATTAGAGCCAATAGTGAGTGAGTGAGTGAGTGAGTGAGTGAGTGAGTGAGTGGGTGAGTGACTTTGGCATCTTGATACAGTTGAGCTATTACTACACTTACACAGAGGTACTGGTGAGGTACGTCACGTGGTGCACAACTCAGACGATTGGGGGCAGGATGAAGACGCACTTCACGCCTGGTAGAGATAGGTACTAATGATCGGCCCACACAGGCATTTCCCAGAACATCTGCCATGAAAAAATATCAGTTTTGGAAATCAGGATCATCGCCTTGTCCTCTGAGACACAAGTGCTTTGATTATGTTGGAAATCTGTGCTCAGCACTTGCCTAAGCACCCAACGCTCAACCAAGTGCCCAGAGTCTACCGCTTGTGTATGTGTGTGTGTGCAAAGAAAGCCACAATGCAAGGTTTTTGGCTCCAAAACTTCAATGTGATGTGTAAACTCAAATTAAAGCTTCAGTCTAGACCGAAAAATGGAGATTTGTTGCCAGTAGACAATTAATGTGATTAGTAACTGAAACCCGAAAACTGAAAATGATTTAAATATGTATTTGAAACCCAGACTGGAAAGAAATATACTTGCATTTTAGGCAATAAGAGGCACTTTAAAAGACAAATATATCTTAAAGGCAATTATCACTAAACTACTAAAAAGACCAAAACAGGCAAAATAAAAATTTGGCAGAATGTTTAATTCTCCATAATTCATAGACATATATTGAATGAATGAGTGAATAAATGAGTATTATTAAACTGTACTTATGCTTTTCTATGCATTATGGAAAGTTAAATTAAGTAGATGTATTTATTTAGCACTGAAAACTGCTTTACGCTATCAAAAATTGCTTTCCTGATGACTGAATTAATCCAAAGTCTGAAGTCACTGAAGATAATATGGATATCAATATTAAATTTAAATCTTTTCTCATATACTTGTTTCACTATTTGCATGTTATCTACAGTGGATCTCAAGTTAATATATCATTTAGAACACACTCCCTTTTTTCTTCTTCTCATTTTTATTCTTCTTCATCTCCTTCTCTTTTTCTTTGTTGATCACTGGCTCATTGATCAATTGAGTCTTGAAATATTTATTTTTCCTCTGGCATTGTAATACAGCACTTTCATTGCATTGGATTGCATTCATTCATTCTGGTAATAAAGTCATCCCATGTTAAGTTCTCTGTTTTCGAGAAGTGCTCTACATGACCATCTCGAATTTTTATGAAATTTTGTTTGCCTTGTCCCACAAGGAACATGATTCTTGGATATTGTGCAGCATGTTTTGAATTGAAGACTTGCCATATCTGGCATTTTCTGTGGTACATTGGTTGGTTTTCTAACATGGTGGAGATATAAAAATGGTTAATAATAATTTTTTTGATACTATAAAAAAGTTAATTACAAGCTGATTTTAGCACCAGTAGCTGACACTTGACATTTTTTATTATATCCAATACTGACACTCCATGCATTGCATTGCATATCTGACATTCCATTACACAAGAGCCTGACATTTCTAAGAAGTTGTATATCATCATCATAAAATGTTGATGTTTAGGCTTAACAGCCTGTTCCATTATTTGTGCAGTATTCCTGGTAGTTAGTCTTCCAGGTGTTTCTGCTGTTGCTACTTCTTTTGTGGTCTTCCAACGACTCTGTTCCCTTCTGGTTTATATTTCCATATTAGTTTTGGCCATCCGTTATTGTTCTTTCTTTTAAGGCATCTTGCCATTTTCTTTGAGAGTTTTTTATTTCCTCTACTAAGTCTTTAGTTTTTAGTTTCTTTGTAATGTTTTGTTTCTCAGTCTGTCCCTTCGTGTAATTCCTACAAGTGTCTCAATAAACTCCTATATGCTGCTTGTATTTTTTGTTTGTGTCTCTTTCATTTTGCATCGCTATAGGTTTAGCTGTTATATTGTGAATTTTTAGTTTTGTTTTTGCATTCATGCCTCTCCCAAAATGCTGTTTAATTGTTCCAAAGATTCTGTTGTATTTATACAATTTATTTTCTAAATCCTCCTGGGTATGGTTGAATACACTCACGATACTTCCAAGATGTGAAAATTTGTTGACTTGTTCCACCTTTGCTCCATTTATTACAATTTTGCTCTCTACTGTTCTTTGCCTTGCAGTGCCATACCTTTTGTTTTTTGAACTGATATTTTCATAGAATATTTCTGTGCCTCTTTTGTCAGTTCAAAAACCGCTCTTTGTAGATCATCTTCAGAATCTGTTATGATTGGTTGATAGTCAGCATATAAGATTGCATCTCTCTTTGTGTCTTTCCTGATTTGGATACCGTGTTTAATTTACTTCCTTCACTAGGTGGTTGATATCTATGTTGAAGAGAGTAGGTGACAGACTACATCCCTGTCTTAGGCTATTGCTGGTTGTTATTGTTGCAGACTTTCTCCCATCTTTTAATACTATTTTAATGTTGGAGCTTTCATATAAACTCTGGGCTGCATAGAGTAATCGATTTGGAATTTTCTCCTCTTTCAGTATTTCAGTATAAAAATTTTGTATTTAAAATCCCTAATCCAACATTATGATATTTAATGAAAATGCACATTGGTAGAAAATATTTTATTTGTCGCAAATAACATTGGATAATTCTTATATTCCTTAAAATGCCAATTTTGGGAACGCAAAAAAAGCCTTAATCATTGATTTTCATTAGTGTACTGATTGTCCGAACAATTCTCTCTTGAATACTCCCTGATGTCTTCATACCCCTTCTCATACCATTTCCAGTTATAACCACTCAATCTTCATTGTAGAAATATAAAATTCTTGTTCTTTTTCAACTTCAACCTGCCCAAGAAAATATTTATCTTCATATTTTATAATACCATAAGTTTCCTTCTGATTGTTATTTCCCTGAACCTCTCTTTGCTTTTCATTTCTTATATTCTTTCTTTGTTTATTTCCAATTCTTTTTTCATTATTCAGCCTTTTATGTGACATTTTTTGCCAATTTCGACTAATAAGTAATTTTTTACCATTTACCCTCATCTTTTGAGCATTTTTTTTTCTGATTTCATTGATTTTAATATTATTTGATTGGTACTTGCTTCAAATAATATTTATGAGATACAACAAATGTTCTCCACAGAATTCCTGAGTGGCCTATTCAATTTCTTCGCTCAGAAATTGTTAATTCAGCCGTTGTGTATAATCTAAACTTCTGTATTACCTATTAGTGCCATTGTTGGTTCAGATAATTTCACAGACACACATATCCTGGTAAAGAACAGTTCAAATCAAAAGTTTGCAAGCCAATTTTTGTATCAATGGATGAAACTACAGATGTCAGGAGTCAGGATGTTGCTAATGTTATTGTTGAAACTCTTGACTCAGAAGCACAAGATATTCCTTCTAAAAACAGACTTTTGGGAACATTATAAATTATATTATTTATATTTTAAACATTATTTATATTTTTAATGTTGAATTATAATTTGTCAGTATTAAATGAATGTTAAATTTATATTAACTTTGGTTGGAAATGTTGGATTGGTTGGAAATATGTATATTTTGATATGAATAAAACTTAATATTTGCTCTAATATACATAATAGAAATTAATTCACTAAAATGAACTAAAAACCAATAAAATAAAACATAATTCCCCCCAAAATCAGTGTAATTTGATCTGAACTGTTTTTGATCAAATTGTTTTTTGTTTTTTTTTCTATTTTCTTTTTCTTTCCTTTTTTCTTTTTTCTTGAAGGATATTTTTAAAACATTTCAGAGCATTTTATTGATCATTTTAGACATTGTTTTAGGTCATCAATATCCACCCCCAAGATCTATTTGCTCTCCTTTTTACCTTTTCTTTTTGGTTTTCGTTCATTTACTTGCACATTTCAAGCTCCTTCTTTTGTTTTCTCTTTGCGTCTTCTTCTTTCTTTTTTCCATTTTTCTTTTCATAATACTTTTTGTAAGCACTTGATTTCACAATGAAGGGTTTGTGGACTCTTCTTGGTTTCTTACATATAGAAGTTTTCAGAACACTTCTATATAGTCTCTAAAGCAAGCAACTTTCTCTTTACCTAAAATTGAATCAATAAATTTCACAAATGATATAACATTGCTCACCTGTAAATATTTATTCTTGCTATTTCATTTTTCTTTTGATATTAAAGCTACAAATTTTCTCATATCAATGTTCTGAAATGGTGTAAGGAAAAAGATCACTTGCTGTAAAACCACTGACAATGCACATTTTGAATTCAACACTATCCAGAATCTTTTTCAGGATTAGAGCAAAATGCTGTACTGTAAAACGGGATGAATAGGATCACATTTCTTGTTCAAAGACCTGAATCATCTTAACCAATCGTGGTAAAGTGATGAAACAAAATCTCTTTTATGGATCTTGATCTGTAATTTTTAATCCTATTTCTGATTTATGGTAAATTATTAAAAGGGAATTATTATAATTTTTTAATGTATCGATCCTATTGGTCCGATGGTCGAGGTGAATAGGAACAGCCATGTAATTTTCATTTCTTAATGTGTTGAGACGCTCATTAAGTGAATAGGATCACTTAATTTTTAAAAAAAAATGTTTGCAACAGAGGAAACTGAAATACAAATCATATTGCAATTATATTATGTATAGAAAGTTACAAAATTGATGTTAAAAAATAAACAGGCAAAATCACAACTTATCCTAAGTGCAAATTGTCAACAAAAAATGTGTGTTGTTCCCTTTGATTTTGGAGCCTTTTATTCTCCTCTCGACTTGAGGAGAAGCCTCTTCACATATATCATCTACATCTGGGTAAACAAAAACAGTTGTTTTCTTTCCAACCCTCTTTCGGAGGCACTTCACTGTTAGTAGGGATTTAGAGGCGGTGACAATTTTCCCTATGAATCTCCTGTTTCGCTTGTTCGTTTCAAGTTTTAACTATGAGAAAGCTACCAGGATGCAGTTCATAAGGGACAAATGTCTCACATTCTGTAATGTTGCTTGTGCTGGTGCCTGTGTTCTCTTGCAGTTTAGAATTATTGCTGAAAGGCAATGATGAGTTTTGATCAGGAACTTCATCAGATTCTTTTTCATCAATTTTAAGATCTTCATAAGATTAGTTTCCATCAATTTTACGATCTTCATCAGATTCATTTTCATCAATTTTGGGGTAATCTAAAAAACACTTTTTCTAGCATATACAGGAACCTAGATCGCCGTTGTCTCACAGGCGTTTCATCGCTCCCTCTCAACACTTGCAACCGCTGGATTAGGGCTTGGTCAACATCCCCTACATTTATGGGTTCTTCATAACTCTCAACACCAGGGACCCTGCTTATTACTTTATTTGGATTGAATAGTATGATACCACATTTTTCGAATTCAGCCTTAATGTTGCTCTCAGCATTTTCTGCTAGTGCCATCACATGGCTTGCTCGAATTCATCCTTGCTCCTCTTTACATAAGCTTTCCCACAAGGGTCAGGGATATAATTTCGAGGCATTCAAACTGTCCTGTAAGTTTTAACAAACACACAATTCAAATGGATTATACACAACAGTCAGGAAGTATAATTCACCCATCTGCAAGTCTGATTATAGTCATTTTCCTCTGATCCCATTCACCCTGTATCTTTAGACAGTGTGTTCATTAAAATAAAAAAATATTAATATTGAGAAATTTATTTGACACTCACCAAAATCAGAGGAGCGACTGAATTTCTTGGTAGAAGCACGCTCTTTGATAATAGAGAAATCAAGTGAACATTCCACAGTGAACAAAGTTTTGAAACCTTTGTAACCATGGAATTCCCCACCCACATGTGGTCAGCATGCTGGAAATCAAGGTCATCACAATTGTAACACAAAATGGCCCTCGGTGCACTCCACGAGGACGGAAATTTCGGTTTGGCGCTCTGATTTGGCACTTTTATATCTATTCGGCATAATTTTATGTTTTTAACGGTTTTGCCAGATTTGATCCTATTCACCCCAGTGATCCTGTTCACCCCGTTTTATGGTATTTCGGTGTGACAACAAGATTCATTCCTTTTTTTATGATGGTCTAGTGCACTTCTCCAAGACATTGTAAGAGGCTGGAATATAGCACCTTCCAAAAATGGTGTAAAATGAGTAAAGGAAACCACACAAACTGGAACACAATTCTGAAACTTGTAATGTGAGTTGAGAAACATGACTACCCACAAAGAAAATAACTGGGAGTTGGATTTCTTTTTCTTTTATTCGTGGTATACACAGATTTGTCATGAATTAAAAAAGTGTAGGTGCACTCATCCATCCTGACTCAATTTCTCAACTGCCCACTCATCCGGTGCAAGATTTGTGATAAACACTGGGACTCTAGTATTTAACAATAATCATTTGAGAAAGGACATGCTCTGTGGGTTGACTGTTATCATTACTGTGATGCATTCATTTTCATCATTCCCAATTTTTTGAACACATCTTTCTCCCCATTTAGCAAGTACCTTACCACGAGGTAAGAAAAATGCAGTTCCACCTGCATTATATAACCAATCTGGGCCAGAAAAAACATGTTTTAGGTTATTTTCTTCCAAATGTTTACCCACTTCTTAAACAATGAAACTATTTTATCTTCAGTAACAGTGCATTTTGATGCAGTTAATGGAATTCATTGAGAAATATTCAAATGCCTTTGTGAAAATAACTGTTAACTTTTTGCCAGGTTTGCCATCATTGAATGGGGTTTCCAGATTCAAATTTACAAAAAAGTTTTCAATTTCTATCAACTGAATTATGCTGCTGGGAAAACCATACCTTTGACTCTCTAGTGTCTATTTTAATAAAAATTGCTTTAAATATTGCTTCATCTAGTACTGGGGAAGAACTTTTAACTGGATATTTTCCAGAATGCATGTAAATCAAAGATTTTTAGGAACTTTGTAATATTTACTATGATTTGTCACCAGCATTACTTTTTGCACAGCTTCGACAGCTTGAAGCATTTGATTTTCTTCATATTTTTAAATTGTCTTCTTTCTCTCCTTCTCCGTATTAATGGAAAGAGCAAAAGATTAAAGGAAAAAGATAAGAAAGAACATCAGAGATCTGACAGCTGTGTATTCATATATTGGAAGCTGACAGTTTCTGCCCCAATATCTGACAGGAGTGTCAGTTACTAGAACAATGTAATTATTTACATTGAGTAAAAGATGAGATATTAGTGATATTAACACTAGTCCAAAACTTCTCATATATTTAATAATATTTTTCTGCTTCCTAATCTCCAGAGCCTGGCTCTCTATGTTGGCAACTAGGAAAACTTCATAATATCTACCCAGTAGCTGACATCCCCCTTCTTAACCATTATATTGCAAGAGAGAGATTGGAAAACCATTAAAAGCTATTTTGATGCTTGATGCAATTTGTAGAACTATTAGAGAGTAAATAATTGGATCTACAAGGAGTTAAACAAGAAATCAGTGGTGCGAGGGTAATGAGGGTCACTTTTTGTGTTTTCAATATAAATCAGTACCAATTGCTCTAATGAACAAGTATGTGCTGTTATATCTCATTTTAGTTAATAAGCTTGTGTTTTCCTCACAAAAATTATTGAAAAATTCATTAGAACCCTTTCACTTATCAAATTTCCAAAAATTTGCATTTGACCCCACATACAGGTAATGGGAGTCACTAAAGAAATATGAAGGAAAATTAACACCTTTGTACTTCAAATAGTTTTTATTTTGTTTTCAATAATTGTAGGTATCTAATGTGATGTGACTTCCAAGATTGTCCAAGATTAGCAGCACTGGCTCCTGGGCATTTGGTCAAGTATGGCTTTTAAAGTGTTGGAGCCATTTGATAAATTCTTCATCCATCCAGCCATCTTAACATGTGTAAATAGCATCAGGGGCCTATTTAAACTAAGAGCAGCAGACACTGGCCCATTCAAAAAGAAGGGAGGAATGAAGTCACCTTTTGCATTCATGCAGCATAAAACGGTGGTTGTTGTTACTCTCTCCCCAGACATGACTACTTTTATTCCTTTTTGAATCTTTGAGGCAATAATTTTCTGAGATTCTAAAACCATAGTAAATACTACTTCATCTATATTAAAAATTTTGTTAGGAGTAAATCACCTGTAAACTTTGTATCGTGATTAAATTTGTATTGTAGTTTCAAAGTATCAGCAAATTAAAAAGAACTAATTTTGTAACTCCATAAAACATATTTGCAAGCTTCTGCAATATTATTCATATTAGCAATTTCATTCTGGTAATATTTTTGCGTCTCATATGAGATCATTTTGTTGTTTTAGAACAATCGCCTCATAACTTTTGGAAGGCCATTGAATATTTCACTGTTCCTCATTGACTTCGAATCTCTCAATAAATTCAAGCTTCTGGGAAATGACCCAATGAAAGGTGTTTGTTTGGTTAAAAAAAATGGCAAAACATCTTGTCAAATCAAAAAAATTATAATTATCAATAACTTTCATTCCCAAATTAACAGTAAATGACAAATTACAAAATTAAACTACAGAGTACCACTGGATAAGATTGTAAAAATTTCCTCAACACCAAATGACATGTGAATAGTTAAACTATGACTCTAACATAAAAATTACATTTTTAAAAGGATTCTTAGCCCCCCCCCTCTTACCACCACTCTCTCTACAGCCAAAAACATGTTTTTTTAAAATTTTGTTCAGTCAACTTAACTTCGTTTTATCTTATTGAAAAATAAGAAATAGTTTGTTTTTAGAAAAACATTTTATTTTATAAGGAACTAGATTGCTGAGAGGTGATGAATAAGTGAACATGTGTGGAAATGAAGGGGAACATGTTTGACCCAGATTTACAAGAACTGTTTTCCTGAGTTAGAACCCCTGTACAGATACAAAAAATCTCAAAAGTTCCTCTCAAAACACCTGTTGTGATTTTATCAAATTTTTTCAATTCCTAAGTCTTAGTTAATAGATAAAAACTAAGACATCTGTAGTTTTTTCAGACTAGAGAGAAGGTTGTCTTTTTCTCATACCTGAGTGTTTATTCTTGCATATATAAAAATAAGTATATACAATCTGGTGTGAAAACTCTGCACTTTGTAAATAAGAATTGTTTGAAATCTGAAAATAGATTTCAAGTGGTACCCAACTATGAGCATGGACTGACCAACTACGCCCTGAACTGTGTGTTACAGTATTATAGGCCCAGTACTGTGCGACAGAAACCATTTGACTATTGCTGATCATTGAGATTAAAGTGCACAAAATATCAGTCTCTTTAGTTTTATCATGGAAGAAAATTTTGATATTTTTCCTTCAATTTAATTATATATTGATTTCAGCTTCTTCACTTTTCTGACCACTCATGATATATAGTGGAAGCACCCAAAAGAACTAAGTCCATAAAATATTAAAAGGAAGTTCAAAAATATCTTATTTTGCAGAATACTGCCTAAGAATATAATCTAATTTGTTCCCCTTCATTTCCTCACGTTCCCCACCTGTTCTTCACCCATTCTCGAACTGTCCCTCATTATTTCCATATCTGGCCCCACATGTTCCCTACCCATCCCCCAAAACACGAGATCTGTCAGAACTAAGCTGTCCTAAAAAAAAGATCGTGTTCCAACGAGACATGCAAATCACTTTAATAGGCCTGGCATCTATCACTTTCAAGTTATGTGTGATTATAATGTGAGTTACAATAATCTGTGTTGTAGGTCATAGTCTGCAAACTTCTACTTTTTCTTGTGAAATTAGTTGGATGTAGGACTGAGATGTAATTTTCTATCCATAAGTAGCAGGGTTTTGTGTCCGTGGTTTCTTATAAACTGCCAAAAACTATCATCTTTCCTTAATGTATGATATACAAAGAATTATAAAACTTTAAAAAAACGATAATTAATAACTGAATTCCAAGGTAAAAAAAATACTGGGTGCTACACCAATGTATACATATGTATAATAAACACTAAAGTAAATATACAGAACAGTTGCAGTCATTTTCAATGTGAATGTTAAATGTCATAACTGATTTACAAGTAGGAAAAGTGTAAAAATAGTTTTTATTTATTTATCTGCAGCCCAGCAATTGAAATCTGAAAAAAAATTCATATCAGTGTTTTGAGAGGAAGTTTTGAGTTTTTTTCCATGCCTATTCCAGGGTTTTAAGACACAACATTTTTTTTCATTTGTCTTCAAAGATATTTTTTTGCATTTGGATTGGATGTTAAGAAGATATCAAATAATATTTTTCTTAATTAATAATAAATGTTAAGTTGGAAAACAAAAAAAAAAAAAGCAACAAAAAATACCATGCTTTTGGCTGTAGAGGGCTGGTTTTGGTGAGAGGGGGGCTAAGAAACCTTTTAAAAATCCTATTTTTTGATAGAGTGATAGTTTAACTACTCATATGTCATATGGTTTTAGGGAACTTTTTACCATTTTATGCGGGGGTGCTTTGCTTGTTTATTGGGCTGTGTTGAGAATATGAAATAATTATTCATCGCAGTAAAATTATTCTTAATTCTTAGAAAGTTACTGTAAGTATAGAGTATGTTTTATCACTGGAGGATGCGGTGTTTTTCCCAACTGAGTCAAGCTCCCGACTGTGTGTTGGTGTAGTGCATGTACGTGTGTATGTATTAGTAAGTAAAGGACAAGGAAGAAAGAATAAGAAAAGATCGCGCGCGGTTCTTGGCAACTTTGTTAGGGTACTGCTCCGGCATTCGCCTGGTGTTAATCGGAGAAATCACGGAAAAGTACTGACCAGAGGAGCTGGCCGCTAGAATGGTCCGCCAGACAGCGGTAGAATTCGATCTGACATTCTAGCTAGTGTCGAAAATTCTGACTCCGTCACCCTATGACTTCCCGGTCAGAGGCACTGCGGTGACATCAGTTGATGCCCTGAGCCATCTCAGCGGGTTTCTCTAAAATTGATATTCCTCGATCGATCTGAACGAATCGTGTCCTTGGGAGTTTGAAAAGGATATTTTGATTTTCGGGGGTAATTTCCATGAAGCCTCAACATTTTGAAAATGATCTCCAAATGTTTCCAAATTTCTTTATTAAACTTTGTCCTCGGATAGCGTAAATAAATATTAAAATGGGGCGAGTCTCATTTCCACTGAAATAACCAATTTTCGAAAATTGCAAAATAGCAAAATTTTCGCCGTCTTCCTACCACTAGTGTACAATATTAAAGATAAGAGATTTTTTCCAAATGAAATCTGTTGTTCAAAGAGATGTCTTGAAATAAGTTCGTATACAATTTCCCCAAAATACGAGTAATTTTTGCGTAATTTTACATGAAATATAGGCAATTTTTATACAATTATTTTCACAAATACGGCTCCAAAACTTTTCTTTAAATTTTCTTCTCGCAGGTATCAAAACGTAAAAAGTGATACTGGTTCCATTTACGGCGAAGTCGGTTCGATTTTCAAAAATTGCAAAAAAATAGCATTTTTTAAGTACACTATTGAAGACAGATTTTTGTCTTAAATGAAATGGTTCTAGAAAATCATATCTTTAAAAAAGGTCATATAATTAAAAAAAAACGAGTAATTTTCGCGAAAGGACTGTTTGCATGTAAAGCAATTTATAAAACTGGTGGTGTTTCAAAAGCACATTATCTACCGCAGTATTCATACTACTACATAAAAAGCAAACATTTCTTCCCGCACTCAGGTCCTCCGAGTTAGCTGACCGTGAGCTCTACTCTACTTCTACGCTGCGTGCTACCAACTCGGGCCGACACAACGCTTAAAAATGCAATCACCTCAACTCAATATTTCCAACGCACATTTTCGAAAATTTAGAGAGATCAATGAAAATATGACATATACCTTCCTTTAAGCGTCCCTTGTTTAATACTTGGGAAAAAATTGAAGAAAACAATAAGACCAATTTTTGAGAAAATGTTCTTTTTATAATTTGCATTAATTTTTACCAAATTTTTCGTGACAAATACTCATTTCTTGGCACAAAAATTGCCCTTTTTATAGAGCTGATTACAGATTTTGTTTAAGGCGAAATTCTCTATCTTCAGTTTTCTAGTTTGAAATGTTAACTTTTTGCAATTTTCAAAAATACTTAAATAATACAAAAATCCTTAATTACATACGAGGGGAAATATTAGTGAAATTTTTTTTAGCGTGCTGTTGAGAAAATATTTTAAGAAATTGCATAAATTTCATTCTCAAATTACGCGAAATCTATTAGTTTTTTCAAAAAAGTGTATATGACCTTTTTAAAGAGCTAATAATTTAGAACAGACTTTCTGACAAAAATCGCTCTCTTCAGTTGTGTAGTTTAGAAATGTTACTTTTTTGCAATTTCTACTGGTTTAAAAAATGTACATAACGTTTTCTTAAAGAGCCAATATTTTAGAACAGATTCTGTAGCAAAAATCGCTATCTTCAATTTTGTAATTTTGAAATGTTAACTTTTTTGCAATATTCGACGAATTGGAGAGTTCGCAGAAAATGGGACTCGCACCATATTTTTTTACCGTCCCTTGATACATACGAAGGGAACATTTTAAGGAAACAATTGGAGTGTTTTTGAGAAAAAATTAATTAAAAAAAATTAAAATTCCCTATATTTCGCGCAAAATTACACGAAAGCTACTCAGATTTGCGGAAAATTGAACGTGATTTTATTTCATGATCTGTCTTTAAAGAACAGATTACATAAAGGAAAAAAATCTCTATCTTGAATAATGTAGTTGTAGCACGCACGACACTAAAAAAAAAAGCGCTTTTGCAATTTTCGTAAACAGGGATTTCAACGAACATGAAACCTGAACCATTCTCTTTATCACAAATATTTATTTCTTAATCTTACTTCTATATGATTATTATTTATACTACTGCTACTATTTACATGTACATTCTTAGTTATTATTTACAATGTGTGATATTGGGTGTTATGTATAATACATAAATGTGTTTGAATGGCTCTTCCGATCAGAATCTGGTTTTTAGTGGCTTGTGTCCGGTATTGATCCTCTTGCATATTTTCATATACTTTTTCACTTCACTATCACTTAGGCTGCCACTAACTTCTTGCTTTCACTTCACTGACAGTGGAGGCTCACACTTTATGGGCTGGGGCTCCAGCTTGTCGTCTGGTGTTGTTGCAGGTCTTTTCTGTTGTTCCGCAGCTAGCTTCCTGTGGCACGGAGTGGAGGAGGGCGCTTCTGCGGACTCTGTCCCGCGCTGTTTGTACTCACGCGGAGCCAGGTGTATATTGCCGGTGTGCGTGTAGTAGCATGCCGCACTGCCATTAATGGCCCCAGTGATTATTCTTTCTCTTAAGGCTTTTATCTTGTGGCCGTCTGCAACTTTCTTTAGTGCGTCGTCACTACCCGCACACCATTCTCCCAGTGCCTCTACCACAAGCGGGAGTATTTCG